TTCGGTGCTTGGTCCCCCTTCCCCCTTCTCCTCCTCTTTCCTTTTGCCCCCCTTTTTGGTGCCGGTTTTTGCCCCTTTCCTCGCTTTTTTGGCCCGTGGGCCGCCGCTTGTTTGCGCCTCTGCTCGGCCTTCCCTCTGGCCTTCGTCCCTGGTTTCCTCTCCTCCCCCCTCTTGTTTCGCGGCTCCCTCTCCTGCCCCCTTCTTGCTTCCTTCCCCTTTTCCTCTGCGGGCTTTGTGCCCTCGCCTCCTTGGTGTCTTTCCCTTTCGGCCCCCCTTTTGCCTTTTTCTCTCCTGTTTCGGCGCCCTCTTGTTTCTTTGCGGCTTCGCCTCCCCCCTTCCTTTTGCCCTGTTTGGTCCCCCTTTCCTTGTCTCCCTGTGCTTTCTTGCCCTTTCCCCCTTTTCCTCCTTGGCCTTTCTTCTTTCCCGTCGTCGTCCTTGGTCCCTTTTTGGCGGCTTGCGCCCCCGCTGGCTCCTCCCCCCGTCCGGTTTCTCCCTTGCGGGTTTTTGCCTCTTTCCCCTTTTGTCCCTTCTTTGGGCTGCCTGTGTCCCTGTTGCTCTCCCTCTCTCCGGTTGTGTTCTCTCCCTTCCCTTGCTTTCCCCTCTTCTTGCCGCCCCCTCCTTTTCTCTTTCCCGTCTTTCCCTTCCCGTCGCGCCTTTTGCCCTTTTTCCTTCCTTGCTCTTTTTCCCGCCTCCCCCTCCTTGCGCTCTTTGCGTTGCGCGTGCGTGTCCCTTCCGGTTTGCCCTTCTCCCTTCCGTGCCCGCCGGCCTCTCTCGCCCCTGCCGCCTTTCGCCTCCTCCGCCTTTCGCTGTTCCCTTTCCTTTTCCTTCCTTTTCCCCCTCCGCCCCCTGTCCTCGTCGGGTGTGTTGTTGGCGCTCCTCCTGCCCCCCCTTGCCTTGTCCTCCTTTGCGGTGTCCCTTTCCTCCCTTGCCGCTTCTTCTGCCTCCCTTCTTTCCCGTGGGTCCCTCCTCGTGTTTTTCTCTCTCTTTTTGTGCCCCTTTTCTCTTTGGCTTGCCTTCTTCCTGTTGCGCGTTCGCCCTCTTTGTGTCTTGCCTTTTCCTTCCCTTGGGTGTGGCCCCTTGCTGCCCCGTGTCCCGGCTTTTCCCCTTGTCCCCCCCTTTGCCTCTTCCTCCCCTCTTTCTTTCTTCGCCTTCTTTGTTGCCTTCCCCCTTGTTTTCTTGTCGTTGCTTCTCTTCCTGCTTTCCTCCCTTTCTTGCCCCCGCGCGCCCCTTGCTCCTTCGGCCCTCCTTCCCCCTTTTGTCCTGCCCTGCCGTTGCTGGTTGCTCGCTCCGCCGTTGTTCTTTTTCCTGCTCTTCCTCTCTCTTGCTTTCCTCTCCCTTCCTCCGCTTTTCGCTCCCTCCCCGCTTCTCGGTTGCTCGGGTTTTTCGCTCCCTCTGCTCTCTCCTGGCCGTGCCCTTCCTGTCCCCTGTCGCTGGTCGCCCCCGTCCTTTTGCGTGCGCTTTCTTTTGCTTCCTCTCTTTTCCCCGCTCCTTCCTCTCTCCTCCGCTTTTGGCCCCTCTTGTTTCCCTGTCGTCCTCTTCTCGCCGTTTCGCCTTTTGCCCTCCTCGCCTTTCTTTCCTGCTCTGGTGCGCTTCTTCTCCTTTTCTTGTTCGTCTCCTTCCCCCCTTTGCCTGCGCGTTTCCCCCCCCTTCCTTTGCGCTTGCCCCTTTCGCCCTTTTGGCCCTCTCGTGTCCTCGCTCGCTTTCCCCCCCTCTCCTTGGCCCTCTTGTCCCCGTTCTTTCTTGTTCTCTCTTCCCGCGCCCCTTCCGCTTTCGGTTTTGGCCTGTCTTGTGGCGTGTCCCTTGTTTGTCCGGCTGCGGTTTGCCTTGCCCCCTCTCCCTCGGCCCCCTCGTCCCCCTTCCCCCCTTTCCTCCTGTCCTGCGGCTCCCTGTCCCTGCCTGCGCCTTTTCCCCTCCTCCCCTTTTCTCCGGCCCCTCCTTTTGGGCCCGCGCCCTCTCTCTTTTCCTCCTCTTGCTTTTTCGCGCTCTGTCTCGCCGTCCCCTTGCCTCCCCTCGCCCCCGCTCTGCTCCCCTTGTTGGTCCCGCTCGGGTGGTGCCCGTCTCGCGGGGGGGGGGGGTGCCTCGCCTTTCCCGCTTTTTCCCCTCCCTCCCTCTTTGGTCCCTTCCCCTCTCCGTCCCCCGTCCCTCGCGTCCGTTTCCCCTGCCCCGCGGCCTCCTCGGTGTCCCGCGTTCTGCCCCCCCCTCCTGTTGCCTCCCGTCCGCTCGGTCCCGCTGCTCTGTCCCGTGCCCGCGCTCTCTTGCCTCTCTCCCGGCGCTGGTGCCCTCCCTCTCTCCTCCCCCCTCTTCCCGCTTGTCCCTCCCTCTCGTCTCCCGTCGCCCGTGTCCGCCTGTTCCCTGCCCCCGTCCCCTTGCTTCGCCTCCTTCCCTCTTTCCGCTCGCCGTTTGCGTCCCCTGCCTCCGTGCCCCCCCCCCCGCCCGCTTCCGCTTCCTGTGCCTCGTCCCCGGTTCGTCGGCTCCGCTCGCTCGCTCGCGCCCCTTCTGTCCGTGCGGTCTGTCCCTGCGCGCGGCCCTTTCTCGTGGTTCGGCCGTGGCGTCCTCTTCCTCGTCCCCTTTTCTCCTTTCCCGTCTCGGCGCCCTTCCCTCTTTTCCCCCCCCCCGTTCCCCTCGTGCCTCCGCGCTCCCCCCCCCTTCTTCCGGCTGTCTTGCCCCCCCCTCCCCCCCTCCGCGTGTCTCGCCCCCCGCTCCCCTCCCCCTCGCGTCTTTCGCCCCCCCGCTCTCCTCCCGCCCCTCCGTGTCTTGCCCCCCGCTCCCCTTCGCCCTCCGCGTGTTTTGCCCCCGCTCCCTCCTCGCGTCTTTTGCCCCCCGCTCTCCTCTTTCTCCCCTTCCCCTCCCCGGTCCTTGTCTCTCTCTCCCCCTCGCTTTGCGCCTCTTCCGCCTCCGTCTCTCCGCCTCTTTGCGCCTTGCCCTTTTGCCTTTT